ATATCTTTTCACAGCATCTGATGAAGTGAGGTTCTGCTTGTGTTATATATGTATAAATACACATGCACGTGCACGCACACACACACACACACACACACACACACACAGTTGTACCAGTATTTAAGCAAAGCCGGGAACGCTGTGGCTTTAAACAGAACTATATTTTTACCCTCTGAAGGCTGATTTGCTTCCTTTCCTGTCACCCTTTAAAGCAACAAAAGCACCAGGAGTTTGGACACAGCTGAGCAGGGTGCCTGCAAGTTCTGCAGAGTGCAACCCTTGCAGTTGCCTCCCAGGCCTTTGAGCAACTTCTCTTTTGCCGTCATGCAGCAATGAAATGGAATCAGGCATGAAGGTAACACTTCTTAGGTCTCATATACAGAGCCAGAGCATCGCACAGGCACTGTCAGCTCTGTCTGCACTGAAAATATGGGGCATTTTTTTTTTTTAAAAACAAGAACTTAGGAGCCAATCAGTGATGTGGCAGAGGGATGGGATTTAAATGTGCACCTGTGGGCAGTTCCTACATGCACATAGCAGCAACGTGCAAAATGTTCAGTGGGGTCTGAATGCCTGGGCCGTGCCCTGGTTGGTGCTGCTGCTCCAGGGGTAATGGGTTAGTCTAGGCCTGGCCTTCAAACACTGATTTAGGCTGCTCCTGATAGGGGCTTGAGCCTAACTTCTCTTCTTCCTTGCCTTATGAATGGAATGGCCTGGGTTGGGACCTGTCAATGCAGCACACCTACTTAAGGAGGCTCGGTGGGTAACTGAAATGAGGGGACCAAAGAGAACTTGGGGGGGGGGAGACGAGAGGAGACGCAGGAGAGACTCAGGGTGAGTCTAGATGCCAGCACCACTTCCTTTGAGCTTAAATCCAGCTGACCCTGTGCCTATCCTCCTGCTTCCCCTGGACCCTAGAGGAAGGCAGGGTAAAATACACAGACCCTGCCCCTTCCCCAGACTCCAAGTGAGCTGGGCTGTTCCTACCTGGTAGCACTGCCCCCAGGGCAAACAAGCCTCAGCATCAGAGAAGCCCCAGCACTGCAGGAGCAGAAGTCCTCCATGCAGTGTGAAATTCACCCTCAGGGAGGTGTCCCAAACACAGGGCCCCGGCCCCAGCCCCCATCGACTCCAAGATCACTGCCCTTGCAGTTTATCTGTCACCTAAGACTATTCCTGGTCACTAGAAACCATAATGTCAGCGCCTACTCAGTTCTTCAGCTTAGTTATAAACTGCCAGGGCATGGGGATGGTCAGATGTGTCAGCTTCTACTCAGCCCACCTGCTTTGCCAAGCTGAGACTGTTTCTTAAAGGGCATTTGCTATTGATGGGGGCCAGTCCCAAACTATGAGACACCTGGCACCTTCCTTGGGAAACTCTTCCTCAGTGCAAACCCTCTCACTGGCAGGAAAATATAGTTGATACTCAGGGAGAGTCCAGCCTGCTGGCCAACCTTTGCAAGAATACGCTGTACCAGATGGCCGCTCTGCTTCAGAGGGGGCCCCATTGTCTGAAATGGCCAGACTGCATCAGCATTAGACTGAAAGATAGACAGGAGGAAGCCCAAGCAAGGCTGTTCATCAGAGACTTCCAACCCATGGACTGGCTGAACTGAGACACAGCCAACAAAGCCTTTTGGGAATTACAGGCAGGAAAATGGACTTTGGCTTGCTTGGTCATACACTCCAGCACAGAGTGGGCTGAACCAGGAAGGGGTTGGTAGTTCCTATTGTTCTGTTGGCAAAAGTTGTGGCACGGGAATGATACAACTGCTCTTCCTTATCAAGTTGTGTCCCAGCCCCCATGGCCATCAAGGAAGAGAGCCATGGGTTTAGGACATTCACCAGTCTTTGTGCCTGGGGGAATGGTAAAGCAGAGAAGCTCTTTAATAATCAGTGCAGATACTGGTCAGCAACATGGTTATGGCTTATATCTGTAGGGAGACAAAGGAACTAGAATGTGCTTACCATCCAGCCAGCCTTGTAGTGAGCAGCAGATACCTTGGCCATTGGGGTGTCTTTGGTCCCTGGTTTGGTATGCATTCATTCTCCCTCATCACATGGGAGCACCCCTTTCAGATCTGTGTGACACTGGTATGGAGAGGGAGCCCCTCCAGCTGGCTACTTTCCTCATGCTCTGAATGGAGTGCCAGAGCCTGGGGCAGCAGCTTTAAAGTAGATTATGCCGTGGGTGCGGAGAGCAAAGCCAAACACACGAAGAGTTTGCCCTAAATCTCAATGCAGGTGACTTTCTCCCAGATACCACTCACCAGGCTTCCTGCAACCCTCAAATGCCAGATGCTGGAGCAGTTATAGCAACTCATATGCCTCTGACAACTATTATCTCCATGTGGTCACCTCCGGCAGTCTGAATACCTGACACATGAAACCTTCCTGGTGGTTCTGCACAAGTTTAAGTCAAATATCCTTAGAAGTACGGCAGTGCAAAGCATGATGGGAAATGTGTGCAGAGCAACCCACAGCTGTCATCTTTAGGATGGCATTTAGCCCATATGGAGATTACAGAAGCTTAAACAGCCATTTGGGCAGTTCAGCATAGGGCTTTTCTGAGCAGCAAAGGGGTTCTCAGTTCTGGCTAAAACTGTACATCTGCCATGCCTGGTCATTTCAATAACTCTGGGCATGTCTACATGAGATGCTGACTGCACAGTAGCATCACATGGCAAAAACCGTGCCCAGATGCTCTTGCACAGTAGTATTAGGCTACTGCGCAGTAGGCGTCAAAAAAAGGCATTTGCCGGCACTACTGCACAGTAACTCCGGTTGCTGCACATTTATTTAGTACTTGTTTATACAGTAACCACTGCACAGTAGCATCTTGTGTAGACGCGGCCACTGTTCTTCAAAAACTACAATTCCTTTCCCCTTCCTACACTGAAACTGGAATCGTTCGTGTCCTGTTACCAAAAGCATGCGGTCTCTTGTGGCTCCTCCCATATGCCTCCAGTTGCTGGGGCTGGAAGGCTCAATACCCAGCCTAGGTACCACTGGGCAGTGATGTCCCACAGGTGAATGCCAAGCAATGCAGCTCTCTCACCAGAAGGAGCTAAACCTGCTGATGTTTGACAGATTCCAGGCACTCCCATCTCCATGCTGCTTCTCACTCTTTGCTGGACGGCTAGCAGGGATGAGAAGGGATCAAGAGGCGAAGCAGAAAGGTGTCCAGATGTTCATTAGAGGTCTTCTCCATGGACTCTCATAGTCCGCTTGTGTTCATCCCCAAAGCAAGCACAGTGTATCTGGTCATCTCACCTTGTCAGGTTCTGGTATCATCTTAGCACAAAGTTCAAAGGTCCAAGTGTGTAACCAAAAAGAAAGTAAGAAGAAGTGTTGCTGTGGACTGGTGATGCCACAGCCTAGGGAGACCCCAGGACAGAAACTTACTTCACACCCTAAAGGAATAGCATGGAGAAATGGTGGACATGCAGCACAGTTAAGCTTCTTTAAAGAATGGAAAAAACCATCTGTGTCTTTAACTTCTTCCTCTGAAAGCTCTTGGGACTCTCTGGGAACCCTTCCACAGCCATCAAAGGGTATTTCAGCTTAAAACCAAAACAAAACCAAAACCTAAGGTTGCATAACTGAGGTATCAATAGCTCTGGGTTGCTGAGAACGTTCGCAGGCTGGGCTATGGGGATTCCTATTTGTTCTTCCCAAGAGCTGCATCCACCTCCTCTTCAGGCTTCAGGGAGTGCCACTGGGCAATGGGCCGCCTGGGGTTAGCCAGCATGTCAGACCAGTGCCGCAGCTCTGTGCCAGTGGAGTTGTTGCCAACAAATATCTTGCCAATAGCTTCATTCTTCCCCAGCTTGTCATAATCCAGGACGGTGATCACCACTGTCACTTTCTGAGGAAGGAAGCAAGGGGAGGAACAGGGGTCTTTAGGTACACAGAAACACTGCGGTACTGCAGGTGCAATGCTTGTGAAACAGCCTCAGTGCCAGGGAAACCCACTGGGGACCTGGTGTTTGTCGTGATTCCAAGGGACAGGTGCTGGCAGGGTCAACACTGCCTAACAACTCTGGGCACCAGTTGCCATTCATGGAGACTCTGGGCACTAGCCCCTGCAATGTTATGCCACCAAACACCCTGGGAGCTCTGGAAAGCTCACCCCATATTTTCCAATGGCTCTGACTTCTCAGCACAGATGTAACAGGTCCCCCTGAACGGGCATTCAGAACGTGGCCCCTTTGACACGCCAACACCCTGAATCAGAGCTGCCCCAGCCAGATGCTGAAGTGAGCTCTGACCTTTTCTCCCCTCAGCCTGGGCTGAGCTAACTTGGCTACAACCCTGGTACCATCCAGAACTTGTATCATTTTAAATCTGTATGCTGTACACTTAAGGAAGTGTAAACCCTTGAGGGAACTGAGTTCATATAGTACAAAAGGGGCTGCTAGAAGGATAGCTGTGTCTCCAGGGAGGGACGGGCACTAGGGAAAACCCAGTGCTAACAGCCTCCACACTAGGGCTTCACCAAGACAGATGTATTCAGACTGCCCGAGTTTATGGGCAGAAGCTGAGTGGAGACCAGGCCCACTTTTCAATCAGCGGTGCCCTTGTGGAGTCATGAAAGGTGATGGGGCTTTGCAGGAGTCACCAAGGACTAGATGCAAAGGGTCTAAGACTGCATGAGGGTCACCAAGAGCAGGGCACGGAGGAGGGGGGCTGGGTAAAGGGCATAAAATTTGCCCACACAGGGATCCCAGAGGGCAAATCCAAGTGGCTGTACTGGGTAAGAAGGGACAGAGGGCTGTCTAGGGGTCAGTAGCAGCCTAATTTGCCTATAACCATCTGTTACAGGTGACAAAATGAAAGGAAGGAAAACCCCTGCTCCCCTCTCATTTAGGATCCTGAATACAATTCTCGAGTGAGCTCTGGTCCCTTGCTTACTGCCAGGCTAAGTGTGCAGGGATGGCAGCTAGAGGAGAAGGCACCTGTCAGCCTGTGGCCCACGCGCACTGAGTGCGGAGCAGCTGAGACAGTGACCCAGGGCCTCATGATCCCTTCAGTAGCTCTGCTGCTGGCTTTGGGGCTCTTTTCCCCATTGTTGTGCACAGCCTTTCTGTCTCCTACTAGCACGTACTGAGGGCAGGGCTGGGCCTTACATGAGGCAGTGGCTCTTACTGCCAGTGAGGGGAAGGCTCTTGGCAAGAGCAACAGGTGTCATCTGCAAGCTCTTCAAGGAGTGGGGGGTGTTTCTGCAGAGCTGCTCAGGTTCTGCAGCTCCATGGGAAGGCAATGGTTGTCAGTGACATTTGAGCCCCCAGTCGTCTGAAGGCTCTTGATGCTGATGGTACCTCTGACAACAGGCACTGGCTTTCTCTAGCACTCCCTGCTTTGACAGCATCCTCAGTGACATCCCACGGATGCTCCAAACCACACAACCTGGGCTCCTGGCTAATCCTCGCAGTCACTGCCAAAACCCAGCCTGAAGCTCTTTGTGCTGGCTTCAGCCTGCCCACCCCAGGCTGTGGGTACTTCTTGGACCCGATGCAGCAGTACCTCCAGCACCCACAGGTGGACCGTGATAGACATAAGTGGCATTAAATGTGTGGGGCCACGCTTATTTTAGCCTGAGAATGAGGCAACAAGGAGGGGGAAGGAGCCAGTCCCTCCATTCAGAGGACCTCAAGTGCCGGCCACCCACCACTTCTGTCCCCATGGTCCACCCCACAGCACCCGAGGCAAGAATCATGACAAGTGAACCTGTATCTGTTCGAAGGGGATCTCGAAGCTGAAGGATTCATTGAAGTAAGGGTTTAGTGTCTTCTTCTTGACGGTGGTCTTCTTCTTCTTCAGCCTCTTGCCGTTCTGCAGCAGGTGGATCTTCACGTATGGATCTGAAAAGAAAGCCCAGAAGAGCAGAAGTCAGAGGCAGCCAGAGCTGGTGCCTGATGGAAAACTGATAGAGCACCTCATAGAGGATGGGAGAGGGCAGAGACCCAGGTAGGAGGCTCTCTGGGTCCACGCAGAAGGGATGGCAGAGACAGCATCATGACACATGGCAGCCTGCTATCAAATCCCTAATATGAAAGAATAATAAGTAGCCCTCATATATTTACTTGTATTGGATTATGTATGTACATGGGGCAGGTGTCTGATAGCAGATGAAGGCTTGGAGGCTGGATCTGGAAACATTCAGATTGGAAATATGGTGCATTTTCAGCAGGGAGGGGAATTACCTATGGGAGCCACTGCCGTGGGGACAGGGCAGGGCTGCTGTCACCCCATGACTGGGCATCTTCCTGAATGACACAAGCTGGCTCAGCTGGATGGTTTGGGCTCTGGGCAGGAACCACAAGCTGGGATGCTCTGGCCTGCACTAGGCTGTGGTGAGACAGGGTAGCTGTCACAGCCTCGTCTAGCCTCAGACAATCTACGAGCATGTCATCTTGCACCGAGATTGTTAAGCACCTTTTGCCCATGGGGTATCTAACACAGCAGATCCACAGGCCTGCATTAGTCCAATCAGTCACCAAGATGTTGGCAGAGCATGAATGACAGTGACTCCTTTGCCTTTGCTGCTGGAGGTCCAACTTGAGTCATGCTAAAGGGCTGGAGAGCAGGGGTGTGTGCAAAGGGGGCACCAAAATCACTCAGCCCCCATGCCTGCTTTGTTTATGCTGCTGGAATTTGGGCAGTGGAAAGCTGGGCCTGGAAAGCTATTGCTGTTTTCATTAAGAAACAGGCTTCTGGAGTTTGGTTCCTTGGCCCAGAGGATCCTGCAATATCACCAAGGGGCCCAGTGAGTGGGATGTCTCATTGCTCTTGAACTATGCTCCCTAACTCAGGATTTGTGGGCAGAGGCCCTCTGGCATTGCTCATGATAAAGCAGATTGTTAGGAAACAACCTGGCCTTGCCTGCAGCACACTTCTTGCTCAGTATTGTTGCTCACTAGCAAGCCAAAGTCAGGGACCACTGCTCCAGAGACAGAGGCAAAGCTCTTTCCTACCAGGAAACCAGCCTGACCACATCTACACCAGCTGACTTCTCAGCTCAGAATCACCTCTGCAAATCTGTCTTGGCACTAGCCTGGTGTAGTAAAGAAGATATTTTCTGTCACGAGGCACATCAGCTGTCCTCAGGGCACAGTGAGACATGCTGGTAAAAGCACCAGAGTCCCCTTCCCAGACACATTGGCCCGCAAAACTGTACTGCTTGCAAGTTATGACTCCAGACATTTCTGGTGTGATTGCAGCCTGCATGTGCTACTAGAAAAGCTTATTTATCCCACAGCCCAAAATAGGGCACTGGGAAGTCTGCACTCAGAAAAATCTCACTGCCAGGCTGGTGTGCAAGCATGGGGCACAGGGCTGGAATAGCAGGGGCCTGAAGGTCATGGCTGAGCTACCTTGGCAAAGCTGTTGTGGGAAGAGCTGAAGGCTGGAAGAGCAGCCCTTGCACTGGGATTGAGGGGCACCAGGGGAGCTGCATGAACGAAATTTATACTCTTCCTGCTTAGATAAAACATGGCTCTGGTGAGCTCACAGACCTGTAAGATTCTTGTTCCTAATAATAAACCTAAGCCTTCCTTTTGACTCTGGCTTTACTGATGCCGTAGATTATCAGGGCTAACCTTCTCATATCTGGGTAGAAGCACAGGCTCTGCTTGTCATGATCCTTTATCTTTGTCATTAATTTATAAAGCCAGTTTTGGCCACTGCCTAATGAGGGCTCCCCGTGGGACACATTCTGCCCATGGGGTGAGGGACCAGGGAAGCAAGACTGAGATGCTGTTTGTAAGCGTAAAAGAGAGAGCGGGCCAATGCATCTGAACAATAAGCCAGCCCTTAGGGGCCCTGGCCCCCTTTCCTCCCACTGCAGGAAACAGAAGTAGAGGGTACTTGCCCCACTCAGTGCTGGTGTTTGCTTAGCACATGACCATCTACATACTCTGGGCCCTGACAGCTCAGTGGAGGCTCCCTGCATTTGACTAAGCAAGGGCACCTATTCCCTTGTCTCCTTGGTGTCTGCCACAAATGGCTCCAGCCAAGCTGGAAATGTGGGTGGCTGTAAAGGGAGTTGCACAAGCTACCACTTTCTCCAGACACCCCAGGTTTGCTTCCCCCTGGGCACTCTCTGACATCAGTGCAAGGTGGGCATGAGCCATCGTGTTTGCCCCCACTGGAGTTGCATGTCAGGGATCTGGTGTTTAAACTGGCAGACCCAACAGAAAGCCATAGGACATGCAGTATCTATGGCTTGCTCCTCTCTTCGGCTTGCAGGGGGCACAACTCCATGTGGCTTCAAGACAGAGCCATGGAGGTGTAACTGCACCATGCAGGTGTCCCCATCAGGTGCATGGTTCTTGCTATAAAGATGCTGTGAATGCTAAGCACCATGGTAAGGACTCCCCTCCAGAATGTCCCCCAGCGGAGGGACCGCGTTTTGCTGCTGACTTAGGAGTGTCACCCAGTGCTAGAAGGTGGTTCTGTGCTTACCAGACAGACCCCCGACATCCATCTTTTTCAGGTTCTTTGCTTCCAGGATGCAAACGGTGAGCTTCCCCGCAGTGGGTACATACCGCAGCGAGATGCAGATATCTCCCAGCTTCTCTGGCTGTTGGCCCAAGGGGAAAGCAGAGGTCAATGCCGTCCCATTGCTCAGACAGCCATTGCTGTCCCTCAGAGCACCTGCCTGTGGGGCTGAGAGCTAATACCCTAGGAAACTATGGGAGGAGATGCACAGCCAGGAACCTCATCACCCATGAGCCAGTGTGAGCCACTCTCTTGATTGCACACCTTCTGTATCACTGCCTTTCCAACAGGACATTCCCTGATTGGGGCGATTCAATGATCCCTGTGTTTTTACTATTGCTTCATATTCACATGCAGCTTTTGCACAAGGAAGACACTTTGCAGATACTGGCCTCATGGCCAAGCCCTGAGCTGAGACTCCGATCGGGGTTCAGTCCCTGACTCTCCCACCAACTGCTTCCACGAGTCTTTCTCATGTCGCTCGTTATGGCTCCAACTGCAGCTAGAGGTGGGATAAGCAAGGCACAGACCCCCTGCATGTCTTGTAACAGAGCCAGGTCTGGTGTTAAGTGGGGATTTCTCCCTACTGCTTAGGCAGGTAATTTGATTCAGTTGATAAACTTGGTAACATCTCAAAGCCACGCATCATGGCAATGGCAGAACTGGGAACAGGCCCTGGACTTTAGTACTTTTCTCAATCCGCTAGCCTCCACTCCCCAGCCAGAACTGGGAACACAGCCCATAAGTCTTGATGAGCAGCCCTTGTTCTAACTGCTGGGTGGTGCACTCTCTCCCACAAGGGACATTTGTCCAGCATTACTGCTGTCTCCTTGAAGGGTGGATCCACCTCCTGCAGCCTGCACCCTGTGGTGCACAGCAGAGCCAGGAGCCCATTTGTGGGGCAACCATGAAAGCAGCCTCAGCCCCAAAGCCATGGAGCTGCCCGGGAAGTCCAGCTCCTGACCCATGAGCATGATTTTTGCCCCCGCCTTCTGCTACTAGACACCTGCCTCACCTCCTCCTTCTCGCCGCTCTGCAAGTCTCTCCACTCCTCAATGGGCTGGCCCAGGTCCACCGTGTTCATGGGCACCTTGACCTCCCCAATGATATCATGCTTGGAGAAGCGGTCAAAGTCGTAGATAGACATCACCAGAGTTTTCCCACCCAGCTCCTGATAGGGAACCTGTTACGGAGAAGAGTACTTTCAAAGCACGATGGTAGTGTGGATGCAATAGAAGAAAGGATCTGATTTGGTGAGAATGGTTCAAATGGATCTGAATCTGCTACAGCTTATGAGCCTGGGCCCATTACCTATTCATGCAATGAGCTGCAGGAATTGCAGCATGGAAGTAGATGCACACCAGCAGCAGGATTAACCTGGTAGATACTCAGGTTAATCATTTCTTGAGGCCAGCTTCTTTATCCCTGAAATTCCCAGCTTGGGCACCAAGCCCTGGGAATTGGTGTAGAGGAGTTCTGGGCTGGGATCCACCTCTAGTATAGTTAATGCCTGAATGGGCAGCTCCAGCCTAGGCTCCCAACTCTCAGGAAGCGAGGGGCCTGAGGAGAGGCTCACCTTGAAGGTAAAGGTTTCATTGAAGGCAGGGTTGAGAGTCTTCTTCTGCACTTTGGTCTCATACTTCTTCTTCTTGTCAGGCAGCAGGAAGACCTTTACATATGGATCTGAGGTGCCACCCATGTCCAATGCTGGAAGCTCAGCTGCTTGGAGGATCCCCACTGTCAGCTGGGAAGACAGCAAGACAGCTTATTTGGGTGTTACATAGAAAAAAGCTGAAGGCCCTTCCTGTTCCACTCTCTCTGCAGCCAGAGTGGGATGGCACTCAGTTCTGCCAGGGGAGTCACCTTCTCCAAAGCACTGATCTCCCTATCTGGAAGCTGAATTTGGGAGTTTTCCTTGGGACGGGCAAAGGGCCCAGGTAACAAAGGGTGGGGCCCTGGACAAGGACTTGGTGGCAAGACCCCTGACAGCCTCTCTTGCCCACACTCTGGAGAGCAGGGGGACTGCCAGAAGGACCCTTTCAAAGGCCCAGAGGGACAATAGTGGGGACACAAGTGCGTGAACCCAAAGACATCACAGCCCTCTGCAGGCACCTGTGCTGCTCAGAGCTTGGTGTTTGCTCCACACTCCTCAGCTATCTTTCCCATGTGAATGCCTCATCTAAACCCACTTTTGCACCACGAGTTCCTTAGCCCAGGCTCCCAGCCCCAGCCATGGCACCTGGTTAGCCTGGAAATCATAATCCAGTGAGAACTGCAGCTTGCCCAGGTTCTCTGGCTCTTTTTCCTCCTCCTCGCCTTCTCCCTCTGTTAGGCCTGTCTCTTCTTCATCGTCCTGTTTGTTCTGAAGAGGAAACAGAGGTGCCCAGTTTAGGACTGAGCCTGTAGAGACTGCTGTCAACTCATGCACACACACATTCCTCCCAAGCTCAGCCCAGAGGCTTTTGGTAGCGCAGGGATCAGCAGCTCCAGCATTCACGTCCCTCAGCACTGGCTGAGAGGGAGGTATGGGCTGCATGGGGATTCAGTTTGGTAAAATCCAAGCTCTTTAGCACTGGGACATTTAATCCTATTGCTCCACAGGAGTTTGCTGCCACGTCTCTGTGGCTACAACACAGACAGACACTGCTGCCCTCTGCTCAGTGGAGACCCAGACCTGCTGCAATGTGCATGCTGAGTCTTAACACTGCTTCAGCTAATGGGGAGCCTCTTTTAGCAAAAGTGGTGAGTACCAGAGCTTCTGCAGCAGAAGCACTCAAGTTCTAACCGAGGACCATGCAACCCTGGGCAGCCCCCGTGTGCAGCACTGATGATGGTGACACGATGGGATCTGACAGATCTGTTGCAGCAAACAGCACTATGTGGCAAGGAGGAGGAAGGGTGAGGCTGCTGTGGGGCAGGTTGCAGGGTGCTCAGCACTGGCCATGTATGCACATGGGATGAGGGCTGAGTGCTGACCCTGGGAGGAAGGTTTGGAACGGGGGCCAGATTCTGGGTAGATTGGCCAGGGAGGGAATGGAAGAGAGGGGCTTGTTAAACTCAAGCAGGAACCCCAAGGCTTTCCGGCACAGTAAACTATGGACACGTGTATAATGGCAGGGGAAGGTGGGTCACGCTCTGTCTTTGGGAGATTGAGTGACTTGTCCCAGGACAGAGCCAGAAGTACAACCTCGGTCTCTGCTACGCCAAGGCTGGTGTGCTGGCCACAGAGCCATTCTCTGTGCTTGCACTAAGTATATCTACCTGGAGGAAGGAGGCATCTACCAGGAACAGGGTGCTGTTCTGTGAGACACCAACAAAGACAGGAAGCAAATCTGCAGCTAAGTCAGGGGGTTTCTTATTTGCACTGCTTAGAATATCCCCCATCCACAGAAACAACCATTAGTGCTACCTGCTACACTGATCTGCAACCTGGACCCAATTTGAGGGATCTGTGCTGCAGAATGGGTCTGGCATGGTTCTCTGGTGGA